AAACGACATAACGTTCAGTTCACTTCCGATTCACTTACTTGTTGCCTGAGGCAAATTCGGGTCTGACGGCTCCGATACTGACAGAACACTATCGGTAGATCCTGGAGGAATACAAATTTGTCTCCAATGGTATGAAACCTGAAATTTTAGTAGATGATTATTGAGTCTCCAGCGAGAGTCTCCTTTCCCGATAGTCCTGTTTTTGATTGGATTAACTATAAGGGAGACTTCCACCTTTGTCTTTAGTGGCTCTGGGATGGCTCTCTGGAACCAGAGTTCCTGGCTACTATCAGCATTTGAATAGTTATGCTGTTTTAATTGGATTGGTAATGCCCTCAGAGTAGGGGGTGTTCCTTCTTTGTTTCAAGAGTCTCCTCCTCAATGTAACTCCTCCAGATTAGCATGTCAAGGCACAGAAAACTGCTATGCTGATGAACTGAGGTGCCTGTTGAATCATATAAATTTGCTTTTGTTTCAGTTTCTCCCCCCTCAATGTAAACTCCTCCCCTCTAAATGTATAAATTGTAAGGGAATGTTTTCCCTTTGACTTATTTTGAGATGACTACAGCGACGCAATAAAGAACTTCTACGTGAAAGATACCTCAAAAGTCTCCTGGTCTGTTGCGTGGAAGAAAAACTTCACTACAGATCCCAATGTTACATTTACTATGCTAAGAAACTAGACATCTGTAATATGGGAGAATCAGCGCCAGCTAGCCATGCTAAAGACGCCAAGCACCAGGCAGTACTGTCACTCACTGACCTTTTTCCCCCTGTGTGCCGAAACGTTTTGCGGTGTTGGTAAATTATATATAAAAAAAAATATCTATAAAAAAAATATTTAAAAAAACCTGTGCAGGACTTCACTATGAGCGGACTCTTTCAGGAATACATAGTCATGGAAATGTGCCGAAAACTTATGGAAAAGTATTGGGTAAAATGTGTATGAACCCTAAGCTTATAACGCTAGTATATAGGGCATAGAGTAATGAAAATAAAAATCGCTAGTTTATACCACTAACAAGGCTCAAAATAGCCCCTCACTAACACAGTAACATAATGAGGGTCCATACATGCAAAACGAAGCATTGAGAACTTTGGAAGTGTACAGATCGTTTAATCAGAAGATATTTTATAAAGACAGTCCACTTCGTAAAACCAGGCAGGAGCCATCTTTGGAAAACAGTCTCGAGCAGTCGAACCACGAACGCCGAGCCAAGTGCGCTGGTGAGATGTGAACGAGCCATAACTTGGCTCAGCGGTCATGGTTCGACTGCTCGAGACGAAGCAGTTGCGAAGTGGATTGTGAAAACAAATCTCAGAGAACGGTTGACTAGTTTTATAGATAATTTTTTTGCATATACATGTACAAAAAAACCTGAAAATATATTTTAAAAAAATCTTTTTTTACATTTCTGTCGACTACAAAAGAAAATGTGCATTGACAAGCTGGTCATTAGATTTGAATCAGGAGGAATTGATTTTTTTTTTTTTTTTTTTTTTTTTCAAAAATATGTTGAGCTGATTGATTGATTGATTTTCTTTCCTTTTTTTAAACGACACTATTGTTTTTTAAAGCTGATGTCCACCTCTAGCATTTGCACCCCAAACACCACACTCCGTTCCATATGCTCCTCCCCTTCTATGAGACCGCCCCTTTCCTCTAGCAAGGTGAGTTATGCTTTTTTTAAACATTGGATTTTTCACACTATTATATTAAACATTAGGGGTGTAACGGTACACAAAAATCACGGTTCGGTACGTACCTCGGTTTTAAAGTCACGGTTCGGTACGTTTTCGATACAGCAAAAAGAAAGAAATGCCAGAGAAATTTCCTATTTGTTTAAAGAAAAAATATTTTTAAATAAATGTGAGTTTTCCTAGATCTTGAAACTTTCAGGTTTATAAATGGGGGTCATCTTTGAAGGATGAACAAATAATGTTTTGGTCATCACATTAAAAATAACATTTAAATATATATTTATTTATATAATATTTGAATTTTGAAGTGCTGGAAAAAGATGTGTGAAGTACTTGAAAGCATTTCACCATTCCAGCCAAACTGGTTCCAGTTAGTGTTACTATATTAAATCCATGGTGAATGTTGCTGGTCTGTGGACGTAAAGTATTACTAGTTCATTGTACGGCACAATGTTTCTCCTGGTTTCCATGACAGCGCTGTTTGATCTAATAGAGATCTACGGTTAATAACGGAGAAATGTGAATGCTTCTCACTAGATCTCGCAGCGATGTTATTACCTCAGTGGCGAATTCAAATGTTTTCTTTACCGGATCTCTTAGCGCGGTGTGGTAACAGTGTTGCTTGATCGAGATCGGCTCGCGCTGCACAGATGTTGCTGGTCCGAACTGATAAACGATCCGTGAAGCACATAACGAGTAAGTTAGCGGAGTTTCGTTCTGCTTTCATTACGCTTGCCATTTGATGTTGCGCAACGTTGTGTTGGCCGCGTCAGCACGAATTTTGCCGGCAGGAAAAATGGTCCAAGCAATCGTTCGGTTTGTATGCGTACCGAACCGGAAGCCTCGAACCGAAACGGTTCAATACGAATACATGTACCGTTACACCCCTATTAAACATACATTTTTATTATCATCAATAGTAATATAAAATGCTTCTCCGCTAGTTGGGCACGCGAATGCCTGCTCGTGGCCGAACCCCCCGTGGTCTGGAGAAGAATAAGGAGAATATTTCTCATCTGAGCGGAGCTTTGCGCACGATGGCCGCCAGCCCTCACAGAAACTACTCCATCACGTCCGTGGCCTCCTCCTACTCGGAGTTTGCGGTAAGTTCTTCATCTTGCCGTTACGGTCTAGACACACAGGCAGCAGATGCAATCGAGTGACCCCCGTGTGCTTATTCTGCCTTCTGTTATAGAAGGATTCTGAATCCACTGCAACGTCCAGGTCTGTATGTCTAAGAACGTTCACTGTCCATCACACTAACACACTTTTCTCACCTAACCCGACTAATGGAGAAGGGTTCTTTCAGCTTCTAACTGTCAGCGACTGACGGAAGCACAACTGAAATCCAATCCGCTGTTTGTAGAGACCCCATGAAAGCACATGGAGTTTGTGGTTTAGCCTGTGTTTTGGCCACCCCTGAAATGGGTCATACCATTGACATTACACGAGCAGTTGAATTTAATGCGAACCTTGCCGCTTTAAGACCTAAAGATGCATGAACATGAATGGTTGTGGTCTGTCAAACAGTCATGTGACGGAATATTAGCAATTTATTTTGTATTTTTTGCCTACAGCGGGAGCTCTCAAATGCTTCGAAATCCAACATCAAGACTGGAGTTTTGAACTCAACCATCACACGCTGAGCACGGTGGATCGAAAGCGGCTCGAATGAACTGATGGGCATCAATGAAGACAAAAAAAGCTTTTATGGAGATGTAAATCATTCAGACTTTGTTGCAGAATTGTAAATATTTTAGCTCTGCTTTTTTATAGTTTTTTCCTCTCAACGTGTTTTTATTTAACTTTACTATTGAGTTTTGAACAAATGATTTTGTCTAAGTTTGACTTCACCTGCTCAGTTTTTATAAAAACTGTCTATTTACACTGATCGTAGGGCTCTGAGATGAATTTTATCTTTTACACTCTAATATCAAGATGGCAGTTTAGACTTTATTTTCTGTAATCACACGGCAACACTAAGTTTCCTTGGCATCACTCCTCTGAAATTGTGCTACTCTAGTGGTTGGCATTCTGTAAATAAATGTTTATTTTCATGGGGACAATTTGTATCTTGTAAGTCTGATTTATTTACTGTTAATCATAATACTTGAACAGTAACCTAAATAGCCTTTGAACTGAAGATACACGGTAAAAAAAAAATAAAATGGGAGTTTATGTTGACCCATTGATCCTGACCAGTCAGAGACAAATTCTGAATTGCCATCACCTTAAAGGGGTAGTTCTCTTTGAAATTAATTTTTGATATGTTTTATCTTACCTCAAGGGCATCCAAGATGTAGGTGTCTTAGTTTCCGCAGTAGTTTTAATTTTGATATTTTTAGGTCAAACCGTTCTTGTCTGTCAGTCATTTAATGGAGGTCTATGGTCACCACCTCAAAGAGCATGCACAGAGGAGTCCAAATTAAACATGATTTAATGACTTGTAAATATAAGTGCACATTGATGGCCTAAGACACGAAACGAGCGGTTTGTGTGAGAGAAAAAAACAAAACAAAAAAACGAGCGGTTTGTGAGAGCTGTGGTTACAAGAGGTAAAAAACGATATAAATACTGTTCGTTTTCGCACACAAACCGCTCGTTTCGTGTCTTAGGCCATCAATGTGTACTTACATTTACGAGTCATTAAATCATGTTTTACTGGGACTTCTCTGTGCATGCTCTTTGAGGTGGTGACCATAGACCTCCATTATATGACTGACAGACAGTTAGAGCACCATTAAAATACCATTGCATATGATCTGTTTGTCTATACTATCTGCGTCTGTCTATACTGGATCTGTATCTGTCTATCATTCTATCTAAACGAAATTTTTGCCGTTTTTGTCTAACAAAATACCAATATCTTATCAAATGAAGGTACAGTGCTAGAAGATCGCTGTTCTAAGTGTTGTATAGGCCCATAAATATCATAGCCTGCCTATTAATTCCAATATTTGATTGCCAAAATGATGTTTTTGATATTTTTTGTCGTATGACACATTTGCTGTTTAAATATAATTGTTTAATGGCAGGTTCCATTGTAGTGTTGCTATTGGTGCTGCGTATTTTCACAAAAGCTTGGCGTTAGTTTAAACTTTAATTAACTGAATCCTTTTCTAGGGTAACAAATTCGCTTTTTTCCTTTCTTTCTCGCTCATTTATTTATTTTTGTAGCTAATTCTCCGTACTAATCTGCCTAAATCGTCCCTGAGGAATTTTCAGTATGGCAACTAGCCCCTTCACCCCTATTCGAGCGCGCGCGCGCCTGCTTGCGTGCGTGTGTGTTGGTGCTGAAGTTGCATTGCAGGGGTGGGACTTCTGCATTCAGATCTTCATCATGCGCAGAGGAAAACCCATACACACTTCAGATCTGATCTAAACGCGCGCGCGTCAGATGTGGTCGAATCCTGCACGTGCATCTGATGCTGTATTGCGCCTTAATTGATGGATGAAAGTGTGTGTGAGCAGGAGAGGGAGAAACAGACACTGTTGAAGGTAAGAACAAACATAAGCTCTTATAATCTCGTGTTTATGAGCGCTCACATATCACGTACATATTCTGCACTTGTCGCGAGTTTTCATGTAATAATATGAATGTGAATAAATAATATATTATCTCATACATTAATTTAGTAGTGTGCCGTGCGTATTTCAGACACGTGTGCTGCAGTTATGCTGAATTATTGTCATGTGACGTTAGCGCTGTTATTTTTGCCTGTTCGTTTCGGTTCGACGTGGAACTGGAAGTTCGGGCCCGTTCACGTGCTGATGCAGTGCGCGTGCCCGCGACTCGGGTGGTCGTCATGGTGATCTTGATGGATCCTCCCTTGATGGGGGCATTAATTTAACCCTCAAGGGCCAAGTAAAACACACTGCACCCCCTTACAACATCTGCGAAATCAAAACACCAGTGTTGTGCTGAATGCGCTAGTCTTTTGGTGTTTACATGTCTCTTTTCAGTGTTTTTGTATGTGCTGTGCACTTTTGTTTATTATGTTTTGCCATTTTGTCTGTTGTGCGTCAGTTTTGTGTGCCTGAGGTGTTTTGTGCCCTGTTGGACGTCTCTAGTCCATCTGCTTTGTGTTGTACATGTTGTATGTACATTTATTTGTGTGTGGATGTTTATATTTTGAGGAGTTTGAGTTGTAATTCCAAAAAAAACCTTTCTTGTGTATGTGTGTGTGGTCGAGGTGGTAAACACATTATGAGGACAAAATGTCCCCCCAAAAGCTGGCAATACCCGAAACCCTTGTACTTGTAGGGGCATTTTTTTGGTTCCCATGAGGAAAAATGCTCGTAAATCATACTACATGGTGTTTTAAGAAAATGCAGAAAGTTATTTTTGATGGGGTTAGTGTATACGGTTTGTACAGTATAAAAACCATGGAAAGTCCCCACAAAACATGAAAACACAATGTGTGCGCGGTTCATCTAGCAGGCAGCTTCTCCGAGTCGCTCGTGTTTCAGTGAAAGTGTTATTATGAGTCATTCTGGAGATTAAAAGCTCGGTTGATTTATTAGCGTTTGCTTCCTTCGGTCCTGCAGAGAGTAGCTGACACTGCAGACTCGAGACTCGAGCTCTCCATCCGTCCACAGCCTCTATTTCATCCACTCTGAATGCAGCGCTGGAAAACAATCATATCTGAATGATTCGTGCCACGAGGTCGTTTAAAGCATCTTGATTAGCTCTGGTGATTTAGTTTCGCTCTCACGTGGCCGCAGACGGTTGGTTGGTTGGTTGGTTTGGGCCTCCTTGAATTTCAGGCCTGTTTGGTGGAGTGGCTTTCAGGAGAAAATCAATTTGCTTTCAAGACATTTTAGAATCTGTTCAGAATATTTACTTTGAGTTTAGGGGTTTATGAAAGATATATATCTTTAAAGGGACAATTCACCCCAAATTCTGTCATTATTGTCTATGATTTTCTTCCATAATACACAAAAGGAGACTTTTTTTCTTCTTTTTACATAAACAAAAATCTGTGAGTTTTAAAAATAAAATAAACCCAGATAGCACAAGTCTATTTGATTTGATGTTTACATCTGGAAGACGTATTTTTTTGCAATACGTCTGTCAGATGTAAAATAGACGTTTAGCAGATGTCAGTCTAACATGCATTCTAAATCATTACATCTTAAAGACATCTTCTAAACGTCTATTTGACATCTGACAGGAAACGTCCTATAGACGTATTTCAGATGAGCAAACACTCTTAAAAATACGTCTTCCAGATGTAAACATTACATCAAATAGACTTGTGCTATCTGAGTGATGACAGAATCTATATTTTTGGGTGAACTGTCCCTTTAAAGCTCTTTCTGACAAGATTTCTGACTTCATTACATTTTTCTTAAACTGTTCTCAATTAATTCATGATTGGTCAATATAAAAATAAAAGCTAACTGAGGACTTTTAATAAATATAAATAATTCTAAAATAACTGCATTAGGGTGAGTAAATAATGGCAGAATTTTCATTTTTGGCTGAACTATCCCTTTAAACCTAGACCTTTATGCCTGTAAGATATAGACTTAAACATCTACACAACCAATTGAATCTTATTTCACTTGGCGTCTTCATAAAAGGCAAATCACAGCCGACACAACCTAAAAGATAGAAACTAAAGCCAACTGAAGAAAGCAAGCTTGGGGTTTCTGCTCCATGATTCATTGTTTACCAGGATGAAGGTTTATACAGCTCAAGTGAATGTGCCATTTGGGAAATTATTTTGGGATATTGGCTTCAACGTCCAGACAGTATCACTGTTCCAAGAGTGTGTGTGTCCATCTGTGCTCCTACAGACTGCGCGTGGGCCGTTACACAAACACACACGAGCGCGCGCGCGTGCGCTTACACAGAGTTGCTAATAACGCTCCTGACAGCGCGACTTCAACACGTATTCATTAGATATTCCGTTTCACACTAGACATAATAAACCCACAATGGCCTGAATCCCAGTGGATGAGAGCATGTGAGCGCTCGGCTGTCTTTAATTGGCCCGTTGTCATGTTCTTCTGCCGGAGTCTTCCTCAGCTCCCGCTGCTCCCTTCATCTCTTCTTTACCCAGAAGTCTCGGCGTGACTCACAGCATACGCCTCTCACTTTCTCTCTTTTTAGACCCAACTTGACTTTCTTTTTTCTTTCTGAGGTGTCTTTCCCAGGTCCTTATAACAATTTACCACAGGAACCTTCATTGCTTCTGCCAAAAACACTACAGCAGTTTACTGTAATAAAAGTTACTGGTAACTTGTAAAACGTACCACAGTATTACTGTAGTACTTAGTAGTTGTATTTATAAATAATAATACAATTTGTACATAAATGATGACTGCGGATATGTTAAAGTATGTATTTTTGGATATGTAGGCCTACCACAGTAATTTTGTGGTATTTTAATGTGTTTTAGACGTTTGTTTACATGCAGCATGTTTTTGGAGGCAGTTACCACAGCAATACCATAGTTTATATTGGATAGGTACGATGAAGCCACGTGTTTGACAGTTTTTATTGGATGTGTGAAAATGTTATAACCATAGTAAATGTACCATAGTAATTATGTGGCATTTTAATGTTATTTGGACATGGGGGCCGTAGTTTCTCTGGACATTATTGCTTACATGCGTCATGTTTTGGGGAGCATTTACCACAGTAATACCTATACCATATCTATATAATTCTTGGATAGATATGATAAAGCTTTGTTTTTGGTTTTTTACATGCATTATGGTACTACCATGATTTTTATTGGATATATTGGATATAATACTGGCATGGTATTTTTGGATATATTCCATTATAAACAAGGGTCTTGTTAATACCATTTTTCTGGCCTTTCCCCTCATGATACCATGTTTCTACTACCATATGTTTGGGTATGTACAATGGTATTTTTTCAATGGTGTATATGAATATGGTTATAAATGAAAAATACTATAGGACTATTGTCTTACCATCGGAATCCATCACTTTACCATACTACCACAGTATATTATTTGTAAGGGTTATTATCGTTTGTAATAACAACTACTCTGTTAACTATTTACCATGGTAAATTGATGAATGCTGTATTAATAGATGTCTTATGTGTTTCAGGTGGCACTATGTCTGTGCAGGGTCAGGATATTTCTGAATATCATCTAAGCGGTGAGCAGTCATCATTCATACGCCTGTAGATTTCGTAGTGATTTCATAGGAATCCCTGTCAGTGAGTTTCTGATTGTGTTTTGTGTGTTTGTGTGTGTGTCAGTGGTGCTCAACCCGCCTGGCTGGGAAGTGTTTTTGTATGTGTTTGGGTTCCTGGTTCTGTTTGCTGTGGTTATAGTGAATCTGTGGAAATTATATAAATCCGGCTCCTTCCCGACTCCCTCTCCGTTCCCAAACTTTCACTACCGCTACCTGCAGGAGAAATATGGCTCCTCCCACTCTGAGGTCAGACAGAAGGTGAGCAGGGAAAAACTGAGAAAATACAATTACTTCAATTATTTTAATAGTAAAAATATTTTTCACTTTTTTTGTATTTTATATTAAAGTTGTTAAAATCAATGTAGAAATTATACTAATTTATTAATCTTTTTATTTCAATGGTAAGTATATTTTATATATATATTATGTTGAAAAAAACAGTTAAAATTTTTTATATTTATATTATTATAAAAACCTGGATAGAGTTATCGTAAATAATATATATATATATATATTTTTTTTTTTTTTTTTTTTTTGAGGTAATATAGCAAAATCATAACCAAAATCATGAGGTAATAATTATATATTAATATAATGAAATATAAATAAATCATAAATTATTATATATAATGTTTAATATATATATAATGATTTATTTATATTAATAAATATTTATATAAATAAATGGGGGAAATTACAAGATTTATTTTAACAGTTATCATATTATAATAGTAATGTCAATGCAGTTTTGTGAAAAAAAAAAGTGAAAAGTTTTGTTAATCTATATATATATTAATAGAAGTTTAAGTGTTATCATTTACAAACTATTACACATTTAAATGTACAAAATGTTTTCTTAAAAATATGATGCTTACTGTTTTTCGTGCAGCGTGTTGCCGCTTCCAACCAGCGGAGGGCGTCCTCTGCGAGCCGAAAGCCGAGTCTCCAGCTGTTGGACACTCCAGATGGTCTTCGGGATCTCGGGACGCTGGAGCTGATGAACCGAGAGCTGGATCCGAGCGGGAGCACCCTGAACCGCTCTGTGTCCTCTGAATCGCTGTGCTCCATCTCGTCCATCGCTCAAACCTTCGGCCACGACTTCACGGTGGGGCAGCTGGAGGTCACGCTGGAGCTGGACACTCGCGCTTCTCTTCTGCTCGTCTCACTGCACCAGGGGAAAGACCTGCTGGAGAAGGAGGAGGAGAACTTCCCTGGATGCTGCATCACCATCACGCTGGTCCCTCAGCAGATCAGCCTGGGATCCACACGGGTATCAGGAACCGTAACACACACACACACACACACACACACACACCTGTCGAATCGTGATTCCTATTCAGTGTTCAGCAACAATATCAGTGTTATTTTAGTATTATTTATATACTATCATTATAATGTTTTGCTTATATTTTTATATTTTCATTTAGAATTTAAGTTTAAGTTTTTTTAAGTTTAGTTTTCATTTTTAGTAATTTTGTGTGCTTTTGTGTTTTCTTAGTTTTTCATTTTAATTTTTTTCTATTTTTTACGTACTTTTAACTTCAACTTATATTATTTCAGTTAGTTGCCAAGACAACATTTCTAATTTTCATTCACATTTATTGTACACATTTATTATATGTAATATATATATATATATATATATATATATATATATATAGTATAAGCATTGTTTAAGACTTAAGTTAACCTTTTTTTAAATACTTTACTTGACATGACTAAGACACTGACAGGTTATGATGTATTGGTTTATGTCAAGGTGTCATAATAACAAAGACATCTTAAACAATGTCAAATTTGCATTCAAAATGTCAATATTTAGCGAAAGACACTTAATGACAGGTGTCATGTTAGTCTTATTCACACCCCTTCAAGTAAAGTGTTAACACTTTTTTTATTTCAGATTTATTTCAATAAAACTAAAAAACAATTTAAAAAAATGTGTTCATATGTTTCATATGCCCAGAGGTCAGCCAATCAGAACAGAGCCCATTTAAATGTAGAAGTCAGTTTAATTCTTAGATCATTACAAGGGTTTAAAATTATAATGTAAAATGAAATTATCTTAAAAACTGTAACATTGATTGATATCTCTCTATATTTTTTCCTGCAGGTCCAGAGAAACGCCTTCACCGTGGTGTTTGACCAGCGCTTTTCTGCTCCGCTGGATTCAGTAAATCTGGATGAGAACAGTCTGCGCTTCTCCGCCTTCGGTGTGGATTCAGACGAACGGCACATCAGTGCTGGAGTGGCAGAACTTAAACTGTCGGATCTGGACCTTCCGTTCCGGCCGTTTAACGCCTGGCTTTACCTGCAGGACATCAACAAGGTACGTCACTCCGGGATGCTTCATTCTGCCTCTGAACTGGAATCAATATATGTCCTCCTATATGTAGAGATGGAAAGAAGAATCATTGTTTCTCCTCAGGCTGTGGATGCTGTGGGCGAGATCCTGTTGTCCCTCAGTTATTTGCCGACTGCTGAACGCCTCACCGTGGTCATCGCCAAAGCCAAGAACCTGATCTGGACTAATGGAAAGACCACGGCAGGTGTGAAGCGGAGCGAGATCCTCCCGGAACAACGCTTGATATTGTGTTAGATGATATTGTGTGAAAGACTTGTACTGAATGTTGTCTGTTTCCATGTGAACAGATCCGTTTGTGAAGGTGTACCTGCTTCAGGACGGCAGGAAGATCAGTAAAAAAAAGACGTCCGTAAAAAGGGATGATACCAACCCCATCTTCAATGAGGCGATGATCTTCTCTGTGCCAGCCATCGTCCTGCAGGTGACATCACATATCTATCTATCTATCTATCTATCTATCTATCTATCTATCTATCTATCTATCTATCTATCTATCTATCTATCTATCTATCTATCTATCTATCTATCTATCTATCTATCTATCTATCTATCTATCTATCTATCTATCTATCTATCTATCTATCTATCTATCTATCTATCTATCTATCTATCTATCTATCTGTCTGTCTATCTCTCTGTCTGTCTGTCTATCTATCTATCTATCTATCTATCTATCTATCTGTCTATTTATCTGTCTATCTGTCTATCTATCTATCTGTCTATCTGTCTATCTATCTATCTATCTATCTATCCGTCTATCTATCTATCTATCTATCTATCTATCTATCTATCTATCTATCTATCTATCTATCTATCTATCTATCTATCTATCTATCTATCTATCTATCTATCTATCTATCTATCTATCTATCTATCTATCTATCGGTCTGTCTGTCTGTCTATCTATCTATCTATCTGTCTCCATATTATATTGCTCTATCCTTCTTTTTCAGGATCTCTCTTTGAGAGTGACTGTCGCTGAGAGCACAGAGGACGGCCGTGGTGAAAACGTGGGTCATGTGATCATCGGGCCAGAGGCCAGTGGAATGGGAATAACTCACTGGAACCAGATGTTGGCTACTTTGCGGAAACCAGTTTCAATGTGGCACCTGCTCCGGAGGACCTAAGTCCTGACCCTTGACCCCTGACCCCTGACTCCTGTCTGCATGGTGCCTACTGTCTAACTGTCCTAACAGTAAAGACGTTTGAATATAAAGAGAAAATCGTTGTCCCGAGGGTGGATGGATCTTTAAAGAGAGAAAGAGAGCTAAATGGGCGGCTCGGGATGTCTCATCTGTAAGGCTCTTTGAAATCCAGGTTTTCTAATCCAGGTTAACTTTATTTCTACACATGATAACAGGGTGGCTGGTCTTGTGCTGCAGCCTTTGGGGGGAAATTGCAGTAGCCACATTCTGTTGTACTAAAAAGTACAGCATAAAAAATAAGACATTTTTTGTTTGGCCATAGGTATCTATTATTATTAATTTTAGTGGGTTGAATGGTTGAATGGAATATTTTTTTCTGCTTAAACATTGTAAAATAAATATAAGACATAACCTTGGGACGGCCTGTCCCTTTTCTCAGGCAAGTGCAATGACACTTATTAGCCTAATATTGGCGCTACTGAGCCAAATCACATATTATAGACGCAGCATTGAAGTGCTGTTTTTTTTTTTTTTCTCCTTTTTTAATAGTTGTATTTATTTATTTATTTTGACAAATACATTCTACCACTGGGGGCGTGCAAGTACTTTATAAAATCAGTGTTGGGGAAGTTGCTAAAAGAAGTATTTTAATAATTATTACCTCTTAAGTTTTATATTGCAATGTGATTACTTCTGAACAGTTATAAAATTACACATTAATTAAATCAGTTAACTTCTAAAATCCAAACTTTAACATAGTTTCATGCGGCCAAGTTGTTACGTTCTTCGACAGATTGCTTGTGCTGTTCTGTGCGGGTGAGGTACGTTTTTGTCAGGGCGTAAGTTTGAATTTATAACCATTTCGCCACTCTTTTCTGCCATCCTCACACTTGGTTAGCATGTCAAAATGAAAGAAAGTGCTTTTTGATCAATAGTATATTTGTTGTTGGACCTTAAATATTGTTGTTGAATTAGCCTTAGTACATTCAAATCATATATGTAGCGCAAGTAACTACGAAACCGTAACTGTTACGGGATTACTGAAACATAAATAGCAATCCCTTATGTTATTTCATCACAGGAACATGTACTTTGTAGTTTTGTACTTTGTAACGCATCACCCCAACACTGCATAAAGTACATACATTCATATCAAACTGGAATATGTATAAACTAATATCCTTTCACGTTCTCATGAGTTTTCCTCGGCACGAAAGAAAATGTAAAGGTGTTTTAACTGCCGCAATAATTAAAACTTTTGATGACAGAATGTAAAAACTTCATACCAAAATCTGTAAATCACTTCCTACATCGTAAACACCTCAAATGTTTTGTAGAATGAATAACAGATTTGAGCTTTTTGCAGTGGTGAAGTCATTTGATTTGATGAAGTGCTGCAATTGTTGTGATTCATTTTTACTACTAACAGTATTTTAAGCTTGTCACCATTAAACTTCATTCTGTGCCAAATTCACCCTAATAGAAGCAATATTCTCATCTGTAGCCTACATCTGATGTCGGTGAACTTTAAAAGATTTAACGAATGATAATGCATGCACATGTAATGTAGGACATACTGCAATCCACTGAATTGTTTAAATAAAAATGCTTTATGTGGTTTGTTTTATATGAAGTCAGTTGTTTTGTGTGAGGTGAGAGATATAGGTATTTGAATTAAAATATGTTTAAAAAAATATTAGATACAACAAGTAAATAATAAGGAAAGCAAATTTGTTTACATTTTTTTCAATTTTGCTTTCATAATTTGTTTTCATTCAGACTAGTAAAAAGAAAAATCCAACACATTTCAGTGTTAATTATTAGATTTCAATTGCAATCATATAGATCGGTGATTGCAAAATGTATCTTTAAAGAAGACTTTTGATCCTGTCCAATGTTCAGATTTCGGTTCTGGAAATGTATGCCTATATTTAATCCATTTGCTTATTAATACATTCCATTTCAGAAAACTATAATTAACTATAATTGGGGAAAGTATGGTGATCTATCAGTTAAAATGTTTACCTTATTCACCTGCAGTGTCTTTTAAATGTCACTGTATTTCCCCACTTTCTTATTATTTTGACGGTTCCATATTTTCGAGCATTAGAAAAATCTGTTAATGAGACATCGATGACATTTTCTGCTATTATGATTGGTCAATCATGGGCAGCGCTGAGAAAAGTAACGTGTTTCCCGTGACCATTTCGTTTGAGTTGCTTCAGCTTCGGTCTAGTGAATATTTTATTAATCTGAAAATGAACACCGAAATATTTAATAAACAGTAAACTAAAAGAACACTGGAGAGTTCATTAATATGTGTAAGAAACGTAAAATGTAGCTCAATCGTGATTGGCCAATAAGAGGCAACTTTCGGAAGACATAGCCCCGCCCATTTAGGTTCTAATATAAATGGATGGAGACAAATAATGTTGTCGCAATCATAAGGGTCCAAGAAGTTCAAGTACAAAGAGCAGGCTGTTAAATACAACCGTTTAGACAGACCCCGAGTTCGGTGTTTGGATTCACAGAAGTTTTGTATCGCGTTTTGTGTGTCATTCAAGACCTGAATAATGGCAGGCAGAGACAAGGCGACGGATCAGATG